CGAACTGAATTTTGAGAACCTCTCACAATGCTCAAGTTGGGAGCCCGAAACAAAATGCATCAAACTGGCGGGTGTTCTGTTTGAAGTGACCCAGAGCATTCAACCAACGTTGACCCGGGATCAAGAACCCCTGCTTGCTTTCCATGGAGGGGAAGTACCATCTCAGAGGACATCCGGATCAGTTTCGGAGGCACTATTGACCATTGGAAGGGGGGTCAACTAGTTTTGACAGGCACCCTTCACTGTGTTAGTTACAGGCACCCTTCACTTTGTTAGTTGCCATGCAAATCCGTACAGGCCTAGATGGCGTGTCGCAAGAATATAATCAGTGGCTCTACACTAACCAAGGGCAAGTTCCCGCAAAAGCTGGAAATTGGTGTGTGTCTGTGTGTCTCATAGAGGAACGTCGGAAAAGGGCTGCTTTCTTTTGGTGTCCCTTCCAAAAAACTAAACGGGGTACCCTCACAAACACCCACACCAAAGCCAGGAACCCCCAAGATCCATCGGGGATATCCTCAAGGAAACCGCCACGGATGATTGAGTGTCGGGGCTTTGCCTGCCTACCAAACCAGCGAGAAGGGCGCATTTGAAGCATAACCAAAACCTGATCCTAACATGGTCTACAGCAAGTGTAAGAGAAAGGGACTGACGTGCTTCTCTGAGCCGGATTTTGATGGCTCATAGGTCAAGATTACATGCTTGCTGTTGTTTTGCGCCCAATTTTGGACCCTGCCCTTTCTCTTCTCTTCAGGTCCTCCAGTAGAGAGCTTAGAATAAGGGTAGCCTTGTTCTGTACTCTATTTTAGTAGGGTCCCAAACCCTCCCAACCAAAACAGAAAGGGGTGAGAAAGGCCACCAATTGCTGGGGCACTGGGAGACCTAGCCTTCTCAAGGAACGTCACTCAAGGCTTCCCAGTCATGATCTCCCCTTGCCTTCCGCAAGACCCACTTCTCGCAGCGCGGCTTGCCCTCCTGCAAGCAGAATGATGCCGCGGTGACGACACCGGTCGAAGGCTTGAGGAAGAAAAGCAGAGAACGGCCACAAAAAAAAACGCAAACAACCACGACGCCCCAAATACATGCAATTTATGATGAGAGTGCACTTCCGGTTTGTGTATATGCAGACATATATACGCATATAACAAAAAATATACGAAGCAGGAATAATGTACTAACTTATTGAACATGATGAAACCTTAAACAGTTGAATATAAGTGTGAACGAGCAAACAAACGCATGAGTGATTGTGTGAATGGGTCAATCAGTGAATCTGAATTGAGTGAGTTAATAAAGTTGGGGAAGAACTGGACCCTGTTAATGCCCAAGGGACCCGCTATGATGAAGCGCTAAATAAAGAAAGAAATAAGGCAAGAAACACTAAAATAACATATGAATCAATGAATGAATGAGTAAATGAATCGATGGATGGATGGATGGATGGACGGATGGATGGACGGATGGATGGACGGATGGATGGATGCATGGATGGCTGGCTGGCTGGCTGGCTGGATGAACGCATGAATGTGTGATTGAAGTGGTTGGTTGGATGGATGGACGCATGGATGGGTGGACATATGTGTGAAATAATAAAGTCAGTAAATGAAGTATATACATGAGATAGCAATAAAACTAATGACTGACTAGCACAACTGACTGGCCAGCTGAATGAATGTCAGCATGCATGCCGCATGTATGTATCTCTACGGCGTAAGTGCACGTGTGTGGGACATGCGGGCGGAAAACTAAGGTATGCATGTACATGAGTGTATGCACGTATGTGTGTGTGTGTGTGGTGTACTTGTTTGCGTCTATATGAGCGCATGCACATACATTTGTGCATGCGTGCAAACACGCATGCATTTGCCCGGGCGAGTTTGTTGCTGTCCACATGCAGGCTCTGTAGGCGCGTATAAGTATATGCATGTCTGAAGGCGTGCACGCATGCTTGCATGCGTGTACAGGCGCATTTGCATCCGTGCGTTAATGTCTACCTCTGTGTGCGTCACGCACGATCAACCGTTCAACATGTAAGTTCCCCCAAAGCGGCCGCTTTTTTTGTGTGCTCCATGGGACGCTGTAAAGACCTAGCGCCAACGCCATCATTTCGTGCCTCGAAAATATGCATGATTCAAAATTTGCAGGACTCCGACGAAATACTTCTATCAAGTTGAATGTCAGGATCTGGTTAGATACCGTCCCCTTACGTGGTCTGGGGTAATCTCGTGTTTGTAACTTTGTCTAGGTATGTGTGTGTGTGTGTGTCCGTGTGTGTGTGTGTGTGTGTGTGTGTGTCTGTGTATGTGTCTCTGCATGTTTTGTGTGAATGTGTATGTGTGCGTCGCCTCGGGCCTCAGGTTTCCACATGGAGTTGCGATCAATACGATGACACTTCCGTGCCAAGCCCGGCCTGATCTTTGCACATCTTCTGCACGGGGTTGAAGCCCATCGCCACCTGAAATCGCCCGCATGAGCCGGGAAATGTGCGGAAACCATGGGTGTCCTCATTTTGAGGTGCCGGTTTTTGGGGGGTGCCGGGAAAGGGATTCAATAGAAAGCCGTGCTTTTGTTTCTTTCAGAAGGGGGGCACTCTGTTTTTGTTGACAAACCCAACCTTCAGGGCTCTGCAGTCTACCTAGAATGAGTGAAGTCGAGACCGCTGCTCAAACCTTCCATAAGGAATGCGTGTGCAATAGCAGCCAGCCCTTTGCCTGCTAGCACACGACTGATTGTTCTGATCACATTCACATCCTTTCACAGACAAAAGTCGATCACTGGCAGATTTGCTCTCTGATAATCCGTGTTATGAGGGGTGGCCATGGGCGCATCAGCATAGCCGCTTAGCCACAGCAAGCATTCATCAAGTCCCGCAAAGAACCAATACAAACGACCAACTCTTGTTGCAGGCAATCAGGTCTGCAAGCGATCTGTTTCAGTCATCTGCGTTGTTTGTCCAGCTGGCCCAAAAAGCTTTTCCTGCAGGCTGAAGCAAATGAAGAAACAATTAACAGACATTACATGCATGTTTGTCTTGTTTAAGAAACAAACACAACACAAACACATACCCAAACCAACGTGATACAGGGTTGAAGCACAACAAAGAAACAAGACGCAAGCAAAAAACAAGCATAACCAACCCTCCATTTGCTTAACTCCCCTGGAAAAATATTCTTAACCAACCGGGGAAAATAAACAAAATATTCTTAACCAAATGGAAGCAACTCAAGAAAACTCGGCATGCCTCCATGAAGTTGCGATCCAGGAAGGGTACCCGTGCCTGGCGCAATGGCGGGGTGATGTGTCAAGCTCAAGGCTTCCTTTTCTGGTTGGTTCTCAGCAGGGAATGAAAAATGGAATGACCCCGAGAAAAAGATGCCCTATGGCTTCCTTGAAGGGAATCCCCTTCAGGTTCATTCCCAAAACCTGGGCCAGTTTTTGGTTGGAAGGACCACCTAAGAGTTGGCAAGCTATGGCTTAGTCTGGCAATGGGTAAGTTTGTCTGAGGTTGGCGAAAGAAAAGCGCATTCTCTTGTGGGGGTACTTGAGAGAGGGCTTTACCCATAGGGCTGTGGATTTTTGGTTTGCGTCCCATTCGCCTAACCCTGGCACAACCTGGCGCGATATATTTCAGTCTACAACTCAGGGTGGGCTGAGGGTAGGTTTCAGGTTGGTTCGGCAAGGCGGGTGGTACGTAAGCTTAGGGTAGGTTTGGGGCAGGTTTAGGTTCCGGTTCGCGTTGGTTCAGGACCGGCATCCTCAGCATAACCAGGCTTTCGGACTGCTTCAGCTGGGTTATGTTGTAGGTAGGGAGCTCCAGGCCTGCTGAGAACAAATATTACTTGAGGTGGTTGGTAGGGGTTTAGAGTTGGCTGCGGCTGTGGTTGTGTTTGAGTTTAAGGGCAGAAATCAAGACTCAAGGCTTGGGGGAGTTTTGGGTAGGTTTTGGGTAGGTTTGGGGTAGGTTTGGGGTAGGTTGATTTTGGTTCTGTTTGGTGTGGGTTCCAACCCCCTCAGCATCACCAGGCTTTGGGGTATGGTTCAAGATGCCAAGCTTTGGGGTAGGGTAGCTATGGAGTTGGCTGCGGCTGTGGTCAGCACAGGGTGCATGTTAACATCTGTACCAAATCTAACAGCCTGCGGGGAAGGTCGGCGGCAGCCCCCCCATGATGTTCGATCAAGCAAGGACCCAAGAAAGGCAAAAAGCGGGGGCTGCACCCAGTGATGATTCAGGAAAGGGCGCGTTCTCTCTTTAGCGGCAGCCTCCGCATGATGTTGGAATTCGAGAAAGGGTAAAAAACAGCTTGGGGGTTGGGGGGGGCTGCCTCCCCCATGATGTTCAAAGAAGTGCATACATACAGACATACAAACACACATACATACAATAGATTACATAGACTATGTATGTATACACACCGAAACATAAATATATGAAACACTTGCTGGAGAGGAACTGGTGATGCTCCCAAAGCCAAACATGTTACCAAAGGCCGCTGGAACCAACGAAAGGCTGGACCAAAAAGGCAGAAGGGTTGTTCCCCTCAAAAAAGGAAACCCCTTGTCTTGAGGTCTTCAAGGGCAATGACCGTCCTCGGCCCAAAACCCCAAAACATGTCCTACGCGCATCGAACTTCCGGCCTCCACGCCCCATGCCATCATCGCCTTGTTGGCGCGCAGGCAGTCGTAGAGGTGCAGCTGCTTGAGCTGGCGCAAAAGGATATCTTCCATTTGGTTAATACCCCTGGAAAAAATAAACATATTTCCAGTACCTGGAGACTCCATGACCCTTTAAAAATGGGTTCATGACCCCAGTATTTTGGGTATAGACCCCATTTCTTAAGGTCATGGAGACTCCAGGTAGTGATAAACCCAAAATATTTCTTGGTATCCCAGATTTGCGGATTTGAGGCAGCTGTATTTGGCTGGTTATGCAATGAAAGCAAACCTAAACCCAGAAATGTGGGGTACCAACAGACCCTCTGGGATATACGTACAACACTGCCTAGTCACTTTGGAGTCAGAACTGCAAGCAACAGCCAGTGGCTAGGAGCGCTTCTGGGTGCGTTGCATCTCGCCAAAAGCTTCAATCCAGACGGATTTTTGACTGCCTGACAATAGGTGGCAATCAGTGCATCCGGGCAAGAGGACATCAACATATGAGTTTCCCCACCTTGGGGGCCTTTAGGATGTTTAAAAGTTAAAAGTAAAAAAAGAAAAAGAAAACGCCCACAGGACACCACCACCCCATGACTTGGACGTTCCATTGGGGCAGGACCCCAGCGGTTTCTTTTCCGCAAAACAACCCGCGCCTTCCGGACGTTCTCGGCATGGAACTCCTCCGCGTTGGGAGCCTTGTGGAAGTAGAGGTAGCCTCACGAAATGCTTGGCGCCCGCGTTTCGATGAGTCCCTGGGCTTAGATTGGCCAAAAACTGTGGGTTAAATCGAACCCCCCACTAAACCTAGGTCCTCCAGTAGAGAGGTTAGAATGAGGGTACCAACTTTTTCGGTTTAGTCTATTTAGTAGGGGAACCCTCCCCCAAAAAAGGGTAAAAGGGCACTGGGGGACCTAGAAACCCTAAAGGTTCTAAAAATCTAAGAACCTACGGGGACAGCTCAAAACCGAGGTCCTCGTGCCTCGTTTTGAGAGGAAGCCATTTAACATCGGCTGCCTGGTTTGGTCTTGGCCGCTGGTGGTCTGAATACTGGGAGGGGGGGGGGGTTGACATGATTGTTTGTTTTTTTTGCCGAGTTGGAGGGAAACCAAAAAGCAGCAACCCATTTTTTTTTTTTTTGGGGGGGGGGGGGTAATCCTGATTTTGACACACACACACACTGAACTTTTCCAAGAGGATCAATTGGTACTTCTTCAGGATGCACTTCAAGGGCCAAGAAGGGGTGCAAGTACAGCATTATAAGATACCAATTGGGACCCTCTTGGTAATCCCCCAAGGACCTTAGAAACTAAGGGCAGATTCTTTTTGATTGCTCTTGACGCGCATGCATGCACGATCAAGGCCATGGGAAAGCTCCACACATTTTCTTGTTCAGCAATCTTTGACTTGAAACCCTAATACTTGACCCTTCCAACAAGGAAGATGTGGTTTGTCCCAAAATATGCAAACCTTCCAAACAGGAGGCACACACACACAACCATGTGCGGGGGGGGGGGGGGGAGGGTTCTTACAAGAGGGCCGCCTTTCTGCAACTGGTGTCATGTTGTGGTACCGAGAAAGGGGCAAAACGTCTGACAACCTCACCACACAAGTGGTATGACATTGCTATAGTTCGCAAGTTGAGATATATGGATGCTTCCTATGTTGGAGTTGATACCCCTTTTAGGTTGGGTGCAAGGGAAAACCAAAAGGGAAAAACATCGGGGGGGCAACCTTAAAAAGACGAGCCGCCCATACGCACAAATCAGAGCACATCCCCAGGTGCAGGACCTTCAGCATGAGAGAGCTTGTGGGCCAAATTTTGAGCCGCCCACCTTTTGTATACCTGGAGTTTTGTTCTGACCCTTTAAACATGGTTGGTCATTTCCCAAAATAATGGTTGGTCATGGACCCGTTTTTCATGGGTCAGATCCGGAGACTCCAGGTTTAATGGAACCAACCGGCCTTTTGCTTCCAACGTGGAGGAGCCTTTCGGGGTCACACCAGAGACCAGCCAGGGGAGCCCATAGGCAATATCAGTGTTCACCCGGGTAACTCCAAACAAAAACGTGTCCGTCTTTTGTTTGGCGTATTCTCTCTTGGGGGTTTATGAAGGAAAACATTTGGAGTGGTCCAACCTCGGGGGGGGAGCGATTCAAGGGAAACCCAAGGACAACCGAAGCCAAACTCAAGGCCTTGAGCCATCGCGACTCCAATCGCATCCGCGCCTCCGAAGATCTCATCGGCGCCCTCGCCGCTGAGGACCATCTTCACCCCCGTGGCCCTGTGCCGGCTGCGCTAAGCCAGCGCGTCACTGACGGTCCCGACATGGAACGTCACATGGCCATGGGCCAAAATCCAAATCGGTTGGCCCCCAGTGAACATCAACCAATCCAACCACTAAAATAGGTTCGAAAATGGGGGGTGAATTCACCTACCCCAAAATAGGTCTGCTTGCGTCTGTGGTCAACGCCTCCATGGCAGCCAAATGGTATTCCATAAAGCAAAGGCAAAGTAAAGAATTCAAGAGACAAACACAAAGAGCAGCCCGTGAGGTCTGGTAGTCCAGCAATACCTGGAGTCTCCATGGCCCGTAAAAAATGGGGGTCATTACCCAAAATAATGGTTGGTCATGGACCCATTGTTAAAGGGTCAGAAGGAGCCCCCCTTTCTCAGCAAGCCCCGGAGCTCCTGATTCGTCTGGCCATGAGGTACATGGGGGTTGAGGCGCGGATGGTGGTCACATCGAAGGTCTCCAAGTGGTAGATCACCTCTGCGTTTGTTGCTCAAAACCCGGTATTGAAATGGTTGTAATCCCAGAACCATGCTTCAAGAATTCAGAAGGCGGCAGCTATTTATGGCAAGGGGATTGCCCAGAACCATGCTTCAAGAATCAAGAAGGCGGATATCCGCAGCTATTTATGGCAAGGGGATTGTCCCTTACTAACCTAACCATTTACCTCTGGTCTCCGAATTTGGACCCCGCAGCTTGGGCTTGGACCCTGGGACTTGGGGTGTTTGGCGGGGGATGGAGGAGAATCGCATGGTAAAAACAAGACTTAGCCTCATGTACCCTCAGGGATCAAATGCTTAGTCTTCTCCCAACCCCATCTTGGCGCCGCAGAAGGCATGCCACTCCTGGTGACCTTGCTGCAGGCTGCACGCACCTTGCCAAGCTCACGCTGCGCACGCTCGAGGTGCCTCTCAAGTTGCAGCGGAGAGTGACAGCGGCAAGCTGCTGTCGGGCGGCGGCCAGCTGATTCAGTGACTGATTTTGATCTGTGGCCACACTCTGCGCAGACTCAGACTGTTGCTTCAACAGCTCCAACTCGGCCACCCTCCTCATACATAGATTTATGTGAGATGTCAAACTGGGACTGTCGAACCAGATTTCGTGGTGGAGCACATGCCATAAAACACATGATACATGGGTCTCTCTCAAACTCGGATGCACGATTTGCAAGGCAAGCCAACAAATCACCAAAATGGAAGACCTAATTTGGAGAAACTGAGGCTTCCTGTTGGTTGCCTCACTGTCCCAACGCACCATCAAAGCTTTCTTTAGATTGTGGACCCCCCCACAAGAAAAAACAAAAACACCGCAAGGATGGTTTTTCCGCAGCTAGTGTGCTTACCCGCAAGGACATTGTGACAATAGGAAAATGAGTGAGGACCAAAAGTTATTGTGCAAAACGTGTTCCCCATGTCCCTCCCAAAAGTTGACCATAGACGACGTACACTTTGGAAAAACCGTGCATGCAGGCATAGCAAATGAGAATCCTCTGTTTCTAAGCCGGTTCCTTGTGGCTTCGGTAGACGTGTTTTGTTCTGTTTTTTGTTTTTATCCTAAAGCTGCCTTTTTTCTCCTGGTGGTTTCCTTAAAAACAAATCAAATACCCTCCACTACAAAACGCGCACACGCACATGGTCCGATTGTGTCCTTTAGCACTGAGCGCCCCACGTCAGGCAAAGCGTCCAAGGCTTCTTCAACGGTAAAGACGTACTCATGGTGCACCGTTCCGAGGAAGTGACTCACCTGCAACGAGCTTGCCCTGTTTGATTGAATGAACATCGAACATGCCGGAGCTTGGACGGACATGTGGTGTGTGTGCGTGTTGTCTTTTATTCGGTGAACCCCCCCCAGAAAGATGCTGGCTTTCCTCTGGGGTTCCTTTTACCACAGCCAAAAAGGGGGAACCTGGACCCTCAACCTACAACTTCAATCAGGGATTTCACCAATCTGGGGGCAGGCAATCACCACAAACTGTTGGTTGGAATTTGGAGAGTTCAGGTTACGCAACAAAGATCTCAAGGCGGCCGGCTTCTCCCGATCGATCGATCACCCCGGTCGCCCTTCAGCGCCTCCTTGGCCGCGGACAAGTCCGGGCCTCCGAGTCTGCACTTCGAGGCTATGGGCCAGGATGGGCACAGCCCGAAAGGGAGGGGTGGCTCAGTCTGTTAGTCTGTGTTGAGTTACCCCAATTTGTAAGCAGACAAGGAAATAATGGAGAATTATGAAGCTACCACTTGACGCGATAAAGTGCAGAATCATGTGGGAAGGAAGATGGCTAGAATTGGAATACGAAACAACGCATGTGAATGTCATGTAAACCACAAAGGGACCGGATGTGTTCTGAGGGTTGACTTGAAATGGACCTGGCAGATTCGCTTCCGCTGGCTTGTTTTGCGGGACCGCAAACCCAAGTTGCAAAAAGACAGGTCTCAGTTTGCTTTAAAAGTTCACCCTTTCAAAAGCTTGGGAAAAATGGGTGTGTCTTTGTTCCGGGGGTTGGTGCAAAGGCAAGGCAAGCCGAAGCCAACTTTATGGGCTCCGGTTTGAGACTCATTGCAGCTCAACCCCCAACCTCATATCTTCCGCTTTTCCTTGACGTGATGGTGCTCTGCAGGGAATATCAGGAAATAAGGAAAATCCCTCTTACAAACCATCCCTTGTAGTTCCTTCAACTTTTTATGGGGATCTCTGGGTTCATTCCCACATTCCCTACCTATCGCACCAGCAAGTTCAAAACACAAACCTAGGTCCTTCAGGAGAGAGGTGAGAATAAGGATGCGCTTTTTAGTCCATTTTAGTAGGGGAACCTTTCCAACCAGAAAAGGGGTGAGAAAGGGCACCTAGCTGGGGGACCTTGATAAACAGTCTGGGGAACCCTTTCGGCCTTTGTCTCCCCTTGGCGCCCCCTTTCATTTCCCTTCATGTCCTCTTCACTTCCCGTCATCTTCATTCATTCTATTTTTGTTTGCATTCCCCATGCCAAAAGAAGGGGGTGAGAAAGGGCACGAAGGGCACTGCGACCTTGAAGCCGTCTGGGGAACCCGAACCCGAACTCGGCGAGCCGAGCGCTGAGCTCCCGGCTGCCTCGCAGGCCAATGCTAAAGGAGTGCAGCTGCGGCCACGCCGCGGGCCCCGTGTGCTGCCGCCTCTGATTCACCGAGCGCCGAGAGCTTCAGAAATTCGGCCCGCTTTCAATGACGCCCTCAAGATTCACCGGGCTAAAGCCCAACCACTCCCATTTTAAAAGAGGGTTTGAGAAGCCGTATACGTGGAGCTACCCGAAATTCTGTGCACAAGACCCCATTGCTTGGGGTTTCTCGGAGACTGTGCACGTACTCAGTTCCAACCAAAGGCCGGGGATATCCAAACAAGTGCACCTTTGCGCCACTCCTGAGAAGCTTACTGATGAATCGCTTGAATCGATTGTGGTCAGTCAGGATTTAAGTCAAACATCTTGAACATGGGACATCTTGAAACACCATCAGAAGAGAGCCAAAGTTGTTGTGCGACACCATGCAAACACCCAAGACCCATTGGCTTGCCCACGGTGGGTGAAGTGTATGGCCGTATGCAACCCCAAGAAGCTAGAGGACTGAACCTATGATCAAGACTAAGGTGACATAAAGAAGTGATTGGAAACTAAGGGCGCTCTTTGGTGGGTGATCTTAACAAACTTCGCCCGAACCAGGCGCTAAACCGCTCTCACCACCTCTTGTCGCGGCCTGTCGACCCCAAAGCAAAGCCTTCAGCCGGGCGGGAACGGGTTGGAGATTAAACTACCTTTGTTGATGGGTGCTGTTCGTGCGCTCTGCAATCAAGCTGGAACAACTTTGGCTTGTCTGTTTAGGGACCCCCAACATGGATTTCAGCTGTCCTCTGGTTTCCCCTTCAAACCACCAACAAGAAGGGGGGGGTAAAAAATGGATGTCGGGGAAAAATGGGGGGGCACCAACCAAAAACAAACGAGGAGGACCCCCACAGCCACTTGGCTGTAAAGCAAATCCATTGGAGACAACATGGTGGTCTCGTTTTCGTGGTGTCGTTTTTCCTTTTTTCTGGTTTCCCCAGACAAAACCACCGAAAACGGGGAGGGGGGGTTCAACTGGATTTCGGTTGTTTGTAGGTATCCCCTTCAAACCGTGGGAAGGTGTGGGAACCCCACAGCCAGCTGGGCGCAGCCTCTGCGAGTTGCGGGACATGATGGCGGCCACCAGCGAGGAGTCCAAGCCGCCGCTCAGCAGCACCCCGTAGGGTACGTCCGACTGGGTGTGGCGGCCATGTCCGGGGAGGCAACCAACCCCCCCCCCGCAACCTGCAGGAAGTGGAGGTTTTAGGTTGAGTTGGGGTGGGGAGTGGGGAGTAGAAAAAAATGGGAGGGTGGAATTGGGAGTAGAAAAGGAGGCTCCCAAGTAAGGGGTCCATCCCTGCAGGACGCGGCTTGAGGCTGTTGAAACAACCTCCTTTTGGCGGTCCGTTGGGAACCAAAGACTGCAGGGTTGCGACACATGTTGATCAACCCCCAGGAGACGGAAAAGGGGGGGAAGTTTGTGTGTATTGTGCAAGCGCCTCCTTTATTTGGCTGCAAACTGACTTGTCCTAGCCCAAGCGGTGGCGGTACAGGTGGCTGTGAGCTGGGGGAGCAGCTGAGAGGTGGTCGGCGCTATCAAATGCAAAGTGTTTGGATGGAGCCGAGTCAGCAGCTGCAAATGCAGTGCTGATTTGTGGCTGGGCAGAAAACAAGTTCAACTGGATGCCTCTCAAGGCAGTCAACCAGTTCCATCACGTTGAACCTCGCTCCAGATCAGACGCTTTTGCCGGCTTTTTTTTCTGGGTAAGGAGAATTGGCATGGTGTCCATTTGTGGCGACATGGTCTAGACTCAGGCTCCCCTGTTTTGGTGGTTCCTGTTGATGGCAAATGAAAAACCAGCTTCTAGCCTTCGAACCATCACAAGCAAACCACTTCTGGCACACCAACAAGGAATAATTAATCTGGCTTCCAAAACTTCTAGCGAGTGGTTAATGCCAGTTTCAATGCTTCCGTGCCGGGCAATAGCCAGACCCTGGTCTTCATGTTGTCGGGCTGTGCTAATGTTCGCCAGGGCGCATGTGAACTCGTAATCTTTTCAAGTTGAATAACGTTCAGCTGCGCGCTTGTTCAGCATGCAAATCAACAACACACTTTGGAGGTCTCTGAATCTCTCCCCTTCCTCACAAGAACCTAGATGCTGTACAAGCCCCACCCCAAACGTAAATGGATCAGCTGGCTCAACACTTCCGCTAACGATGCGCAGCACGCTCAACAGGCCAGGCGTGCCATCATGTGAGAGATAACCGCCTTCTCAAAGGCTTCTCTCAGCGTGTGCAGGGCAATCTCCTGCGGGCTTCCAATTTCCAAACGCACGGGGATATGAGGCGGAACAACACGCTCAAGACATCATCTTCGACACGTGAAAAAGACGAGTTTGAGGGGTGGACAACCCCCTCTTTCTTTTTGGTGGGAGGGGTTCCCTAAAAAAGCACCCGCACACATGTTTAGTTGCCTGGTGGAGCTGTTCTTCTTCTGACCAATTGAAAATCCATGACCCCATGATTTGTTTGGCAATGACCAACCATTCTTTTTAGGGGTCATGGTGACTCCAAGCAGATTGAAGGGGCCGTGGTTGGTAGCTCGATCCTCTCAGCAACTCTGCACCCAGCAGTGGCTTCTCTTTTTCAACTGAGGCTACGTATGATCCAGTGACTCACTGGTCGCACCGAATCACGAAATTTACAACCCAGTGCGCCTCACAAATTGCTCAGCAGGACATGCATGTCTGCACTGATTCAAACTATCTATGCGGCAGGCTGTAGCCTTTTCACGGCAGCAGCCAGGTCCTCGTAAGTCAAGAGGTTGCTTTTGGCGCGCGGCTGGCTTGAGGTTGGGGCATTAAAGCGCCTGGCTCGCTCCTCCTGGGCCCTATCCATCCATCGATCCATTGCGCCGGCATTGTGCTTGCTGCGCCAGGCAGGGCTAGTGTACCTCAGAAATGGCTGGCAATGCAATCTCTCAATCATCAATATAAACGCATACCTCCATCCAGATGGAGATTTTTGTTTTAATGGTATCCATCCTTTCTTCAAAGCCGTCAGTGCTGCGCCAAGTGAAGCATCAGATATTGCGTTGTGCGCCAAGCTTTTGGTGGCGGGTAGACACCACCGATGTCTAATGGATCCCAGGTAAGTGTGAAGCGAACCTCTGAAAGTCTTTTTGGCCGAGTCGCTCCGTGATCAGGATTTCCAGGTCCCTGTCACCGATGTCGCGCAGCTCCAGCTTTTGTTGGCTGAGCTTGCCTGACGTGGCGAGCGAAAAAACGCCTCCAAACTGCCAAGGATCCTCTAGCTCAAGTTCATCCGCTGCCGGGCCCCAAATAAGCAAGGCTCCCCCCCTCTCCAAAAAAACAAAACACCACATGTTTTATTGTCGGTAGACTTCTCTCCTCAGACAGGCTCCCAACTTCTCAGGGTTCCCCAATAAGCCACTACTCGGGGTCAGCATGAGACATCGCTGGGCGACTCTGGAATTTGGGAAAACACAGTCTGAATTGGAGACGGGGGACCTGTATTGTTTGGTGGAAGAGATGAAAAGGCTTTCAGATCAAGCCACGCTGGAAAATCTTTGCCAGCTCGAGAGGCGTGTAGTCTGCCATCTGGAATTCATGCCGGATCCTCCGTTCCAGGCCCCGGTTGGCGCCCTTGAGCGCTTCCATCTCATCTTGGTAGCCAGCAAAGATCACAAGAGGGTCGCCCCTCTCCATGTCCCTCATGATCTCTTCCAAGGCTTCTTTTCCGAAGTCATTGCCCCCTGTTCCGCGAGGAGTCAAGCGGTAGGCCTCGTCAATGAAAAGAATCCCACCCTTGGCAGAGTTGATAACGCTGCGTGTTTTGGGTGCTGTGTGTCCAACGTACTCGCCCACCAAGTCTGCCCGTTGGACTTCCACCAATTTGTCGGTCTGGGTAATACCCAAATGGCAAAGGATCTTGCCAAGCATGCGCGCCACTGTTGTCTTTCCTGTTCCTGGATTCCCTTTCAAGATCATGTGATTGGGCCAGGGTTGCTCCGCCCGTGGCTTGCCCTGACTTTGCTGGTACATTAAGTTCCCGAAGTCTCTGATCTGGCGCTTCAAGGTGTCTTGACCCTCAAAGTCAGCCAGCATTTCCTCGATCTCCAGCCCCAACAGCAACTCACGGCTGGCAACTCCATCGCTCACCCGGACGATCTCTTGCCTGTTGCCATCGCTCTTTCTCATCGCCACTGCGTACTCTGCTTGGAACAGTCTTGGAAGCGCGTACTCCTTAGCTTCGAGCAAGGATGCCTTGTAAGCAAGAACCCTAGGGTGCAACCCCCATTACAAGACTGGTTGACCGATGACAATCCTTAGGTAAACAATGGTGGTTACATGAACCCCCATTCCCTGTTTTCGTGGTGGTGTGAAATTCCAGGGAGTATTTGAGGGTGTTGGTGAGCCTTGCCGCCTTGCCGCACTTATCTGCTCAGAACAGAATAGGATGCCTCTAAGGATAGCCTTGCTGCCGGGGGGGGGGGCGTACTTGGGCTGTGGGTCCGTTTTTCACGCAAACAATTGGTTCAAACGACGTGCAGCCTCTCTCGAAAACCCTTTTGGGAAGACAGACAGACAAACAAACACACAAACACACGCACACACAAACACACGCACACACAAACACACGCACACACAAACAAACAAAGACACAACCATTTACTCAGCCTGATGCTGCGCCGAAATCAATTGGAGGCACAGTTCCAAACAGCCCATGGCAGGGAAGAATAAGCATCAGCCTTGGGTCAATGTCAAGACCCAAGGCGCCAATACAATAAATGTAATGCAACATCGGCAAACATGTTTAATTTCAGACGTTCGGGTATATCACACTTCAGTGAGGCGCATGAAACACGAACCAAAGATGCTCCCGCAGCAACTATGTTCAAGCAGGCTTCAAGGCCATTCTGCACCAGCTTACCAAGTATTAGGCTGGCGGCCAGTCCGCCTATGCCTTGCGCAACACCCTTCATGAATTGCCCTCGTTGGCCAACTGCTTTCAAGCTCTCCTTGCACAACTTCAAGGAGCACTGAACACTGGCAGCCAAACCGCCAACGTTGGCGGCTTGCCTGTGCCAATCCTTCGTCAATTTCATGGAGCCCACCGCAGTCAAGACCTCCAGTCCTGCCTCGCCTCTCAATATGCCCAAGATTTCTTGCTCATCTGCTGGTGGGAATACCAGGCGATAGTCTGGAGGAAGGCCAGATTTAACCAGGGTCCGCACGCACGTCAGGAAGTTAGCCTGCCCGGCCAATGCAGCAGGACAAACAAATTTCGCCATGCTAAACCCCCCTACCCTGTGCCTTGCTGTCATAGACGGTGTCGCCAATTGGTCCGCAAATTGCATATCGCTCACCGGGAACCTTTCCTGACCCATCCTTCGCTCGAACTTGACGCAGCAGTTCTGGCTCGCGAAGGGTAAGCTTCACAACTGGCCCTTGTTGCTGTTGCGCTCGGCGCTGCCACGCGTCTTCGCTTGGAACAACCCCGCCATCTAGGCGAAACCTGAGCAGGGGCCCAACATCAGCATGCAAAACGAGCCAATGCAAGCATTGACATTGTCATCGGACTGCGAATTGGAAGGGCGCGTATAGTATCGAAAACAGTGGACTTCAACTTGACGCTTCAGCCTTATCGGACCCTGGTCTGGTGCATGGTGAACTTGTTGAACCTGCTGGGTCACCTCCTGCAAAGTTGGGAGGCGCCCGGCTGGAGCAGCAACCTTGGCAAACGGCCGAACTACGACTTGGCCATGGCGCTATCTGATGCCTAGGTCCTCCAGTAGAGAGCTTAGAATAAGTTGGCACCTTTTTTCTGTAGTCTATTTTAGTATCCCGAAGCCTCCCAACCAAAGGGGGGAGAAAGGGCACTGGACCTAGACACGCCTGGCTTCCTTTACACCCCCCTCCCAACTCCAGCCAGGGCACTGTGGCAATTCGTCTGGTGTTACTCCAAACCTCAACGTATCGCTGCATGGCGATGCAGCGATGGCGTTTGGGCAAGGCTCCAGTCCTTGAGAAAAGTCCAGGAATCGTGGCGCCTAGCTCCCCTTCCAGGATGCCTATGGCGAGTTACTGGGTAAGCTTTCCGGAACCGGGGGGGGAGGTGTTTGTGGTTGGACATCATGTCAGCTTCAGACTAATCCGGAGTACCATACTAATCAGGGGTTGTTCTCCTTGATCGATTTTAGGGGTCTTCTAACTGGTTGGGTGCTCCGGATTAATCCAAACTGAGCATGAGAGGGAATCCCAGCAGGTGTACAGATTGGGGGAAATTTAGGGCAAGCATATGGGCTAAAGGGTCCATTCCAACCATTAGTTTCACCCGTTCTGCTTTGAAAGCACCACCATTTGCTTGGTGTTGTGCACTTCCTGTCCTTTTGCGCGGTACCTATGCTGGTACTTGTCAACAAAAGACTGTGTCATTGGTTCTGATGAATAAGTGATGACTGGAAACAAGAAACACACCTTGCGGATGCTTTCTTTCGCAGTCCCTCCAAAGGGTCACTTGTGTCATTCCATGCGTCAAATTCTTTCCGTGGGCAGGGATTGCTGACAGCTGCTTGCTTTCTTTCTTTTGTGGTTGGGCCAACCTCAAGATGCGCTAAACGGGATGAAGGTTCCAGTGCCACCGGGGGTCTGGAAAGCAAAGCCTCCATACGCCTGGGGGGTTGCTGCGAGGGTACCCTTTTCATGGAGGGAAACTAAGGGAAAGCCACATCCTATTTGACACATGAATCGCGTGCCGAGACTTTCCACGGAGAGCCACGGTGTTGTATGCTGTCCCTTTAGAGGATGTTGCTTGTTTAGCTTGTGTTTGAGAGGAAACTCAAAGAAAACCGCTCAGCTTTGAGGGGTTCCTATGCGGCGGGGGGGGGGTCCATTTTGGCACATCGCATCCGTGGCATTGGTTTGTTCTCAGCTTTTCGAACTTTTCTTCTGCTAGCCGTTTGTTGTATATAAAAATATATGTAGCCGTTGTTATATTCCATATGTATATACAGTATATATATATATATGTAATATATATATATATATATTGTAAATAGGTTCTTCTCCAAAGCAAGTTGAGCTTCAGGGCTCGCAACCTGGGCGTCTTGGTCTCCTGTGTGGGCACCGGTGAGGGCTGCCACCAGCACGGGGTGTAGAAGGCCCGCCTCTGGCCCTGGAAAAGCACTCCGATGGTTCAACGTGCGTATCACCAAACCTAGGTCCTCAAGTAGAGAGGTTAGAATAAGTTGGTACCCGATTTATTTGTTTTCGGTTTTGTCTATTTTAGTAGGGTCCTGAACCCTCCCAACCAAAACCGGGGTGAGAAAGGGCACTGGGGGGCCTAGAAACCAAGGTTTATGGAGTCTTGTGCTGGTCGATTCAAGGGAAGGGCTTCCCAAAGTCTCCCTCAAACCTGAATGAACCCCTGGGAACGCTAAGGAATAGGGAATCCTTTTTCAGGAACTAGGGAACTGGAAGGATCCCTCGGGCTCTCAACGCAACTTTCTTGTACCCACCCTTTAGGGATTCCATAAAAGGTGGTTGAGAACAGGCCAGCTGTAGATACACTTCAAGTCTGTCAGGAATCATGTTGGCCAAACAAAGATAATTACATTATGGAACATCAACACCAAAGCACACAAGCGTTTTGCCACAGGGCTCAAGAAGGCTCTTCATCACAAGCCAGCAACAAAGCCCACACGGAAAGGACGTCCTGTCCCGACAGGCTCCATGTTAGCAAATGAGTTCGGGTCTAAAGTCTGAGTCAAATCCGCTGTGACTCAAAAAGCTTCGAGCACCATAGGTCCAAAAGAGCTAAGGGGCCGAAGTCCTCTACAGTTCAAACACCAGGAACCAGCCATGGAAGACGACTCTAAACGTGCGCGTAATCCCCCGCTGGCTCGCTCATCTGGCTCTGGTGCTTGAGGCTTTCGCGCTGCTTGGGTCTTCCCAGACTTCTCGAGCCACTTGGCGGGAAAGCCCAGCCGAGCTTCACCCACCTTCCGCTTCGCCAGTTGGCCTCGAACTACACGGATTGGTCCTCGACCTCTGTCCGGCCACAGGTGGCAACGAGGTCGCCTTTGGCAAGGGGGATGGTCTTGCGGCGGCAGTGGCCAAAGGTGGTTGGTTAAGGAGCTTTAGGCCTGCTTATTCGAGGTCTGCCGGATGTAGAACCTATGAATATGTAACCTGAAACCAAATTCTGGTCTGAAGCGAGACTAACGCCGCAAAAGCGGCGTTAATTGGAAACAACCCTTTTGCGGATGAACATGTAGCCCCAATCAGCCGATGATGTTTGAAGAACATTGGGCGACCCACCCCATGTTTCCATTCAATCAATGGAGGGAAGTAAGCCCGCCAGAAACAAACTAACCCGCCAATTCAGCAACCCACTTTATCAATCAGCCAAGTAAGCCACCAACCAATTAACCAACCAACCAAAACATTAACCAACCAACCAACCAACCAACCAACCAACCAACCAACCAACCAACCAACCAACAAACCAACCAACCAACCAACCAACCAACCAACCAACCAACCAACAAACAGGTGTTGAACCATCTGCGTGCCTAGCCGGGTGACTTGGTCTGCGATCGATCCTGTGACCCGGGTGTAAAACTAGTTATAGTTTGGGGGTAAGTACATGGCCCAGTGGGTCCCAGTTACCCTTTTAGTAGGTATCCCTTCGATCCATTTCTTTCTGCGTCCTTTAAAGGGCGGCAAGCCCTTTACCCACAAAGCCAGGTACAGCTCGGATTTTCTGGAGGATGCCAACCACGAAACAAAACATCCCGGGTCCGGGTCGAGATCACCTCGTCCCCTTCGGTTCCGTCTCTGAGGCCCCGACAGATTTGGAGTCCAAGACGTGGCCGGGCGGGAACTCCTCGTATCTCTCACAGGCCTGCGCTCGGTGAGTTGGTTCGTTCACTAGGTCCTCTAGTAGAGAGGTTAGAATAAGTTGGTACCCGATTTGTTTTTCGGCTTTGTCTATTTTAGTAGGGAAACCCTCCCAACCAAAGAAGGGGTGAGAAAGGGCACTACTGGGGGACGTAGTTCAAGTCTCGAGCCAAGAGGATTCTTGAGACGTCCAAAGTGTTGGCGTTCCCATGGGGTTGAGAGATAACAGGCATCACTGTTTGGGGAGCCATGACCAAAAAGGGGTTGAGGGATAATTAAAAAGTTAACTTTTTAGGGCCATGACCAAAAATAAGGGAAAACCAATAAAATACAGACAGACACACCCAGATTGGAGCCATTGAATGATTTGTTGGACATCCAAGAGCTTCCAAAAGAACTAAACTTATGAGGTCAAACAGAGGACAAGCCATCTTGGGGTGGGGTCTCCTCGTTGCAAGAAGCCATCCGGCCACCATCAGCCACCGACAAACAATCCTCCCTTGTCAACTTGGGCGTCTTTTTCAGCTAGAACCGCATGTCCCAATCTGTATGGATGTGCTTTTTTGGGGTACCGGGTACGCTTTTGACGTGGGCTTACAGGGAAGCCAAAGGACATTATCTGCTCCTTGCTTTTTTGGGGGTGGGGGGCCTATTTTGACACATACCGGTAAAGGGCTTATTAAGATGAGGAATTGGTCTGCGTCCAAGGCCCTTCCATTTTGAGACTTCAACTTGGTTATGTGGACGAAGTCGCGGCAACAACTTCTTTGAGCAAGGTCACAATTGCACAATGTTCTCCAAAAGCCCAACTCTCGTTGGAGGCCCAATTTGACCAAAAGTTGAGTGGAGTTCTGCTAGTTTCCTCTGAAACACAAACCAAACCTAGGTCCTCCAGTAGAGAGACCCTTTTTTGCTGTAGTTTATTTCAGTAGGGGAACCCTCCCCCAAAGAAGGGGTGAGAAAGGGCACCTAGATGGAGAACCTAGAAACAAGCAATTGAAGGGCTTTCTCCAGAAGCGCAACCGGTGCGAAGCACGCCACGCGCTTCCGGTGCGAAGCGCGCGCGCATCTTTTTTGGTTCGGGTCGACATGTGTCGCTATCCGCTGCCCGACTTTCCAAACAGCTCAGAGCTGGTGGCGCAGGTTTCTGACATTGATGCCTTGCTGGTGCTCAGGGACTGAGGGAATGAACATGACAATTCCCTTAAAGGAAACCGCAAGGGGATGGTTTATAGGGCTCGTTCCATTTCTCATTCCAAGCTGAGAACCAGCAAGATATGTGATTGCCCCTCCCACAGCCCCACATCCCCCCACAAGAAGTGGGTGGCTGTTTCTTGAGGTTACCTTTTTTAAGGTTGGCTTGAAGGAAATCCAAGGAAGTCCGCAGTTTACTGCTTGGGGGCTTCCTAGTCTGACTCATACACAAATGGCCCTTTCTGTGATAAGTGGGCTTTGTATTGGTACAAGGCAAAGCGGCCCTTGAACCCAAACATGAGAGTATCAACTAGCCCCAAAGTACTCTGGCCTACCAAGCAAACTAGCCTAAGCCATACAACCCAAATCAGAAGTCAGCATCTCTCCAAATGGTTGCAACCATTTCCCCTGCAAACCTATTCCAAGTTCATTGACACCTTGCCAACCCTCCAAAACACAACGCGCAGATCGTCGACCCGGATGGTCGCAACCCCTGTGCCCTTCCGAAACCTACGACATGTTACCCCCTTTAAATCCATGAAGTCGTCTACCCTATCTGCTTCTTGCCATCTCACTTCCATCGACTCGGGTAGAACCTCTCCCGCCGGACCCCGGTAGACAACAGAAGAGGATATCTGGGAGGGTGCCGTGATTCTAGATCGCTGGCCTACATTATGTTCCCATGCTGAAGCCCAAACTATCCCAAGCTCCTAAGGAAGGGTTTGCCTATTGAAGTCTTATGAACCTTCAGAAACACACGGCACCGGGGTCGTTTGCTCAGTCAGTTAAACTACATAGGCAAACATGGGGACACAGGCAACACCACAGGAAGCAACACACAACAATCTGCTGTGAAAACTGGATCCCAAAAGCAAACCTCATGCTCACCTCGAAGCGAAATCGGGCAGCGCTGAACGCAAAGCAAAAGCGGCTGTTCTGGGAAGGCAGCTTTGTCGGCTCACATTGGTGGTGTCCCATGCTGGTCCAATGTTGAATCATGTTCACCCGTGAGCCAGACAAATCCTGTCCAATATTGACCACATGCGTAGTTTGCCCAACAGGGATAAACAGTTGAGCATGCCGAAAGGGGCTCCAGCACATTCAACCGACCAGCGAGTGCCTGCTGGAGGGCCAAAGGGGAACGTCTTCTGCATTCGCGAAAAGAAGCCAACACAAATCCCGCAACAAATGAAAGCACCAAGCACAAGGGACCCTTTAAGGAGGCGTCGTTTCCTAGAACCTATTAATATTCATAAACCTTAGTTGAGTCACGGGGGGGTGCTCCATGGGTGTTCACTCTGCAATCCGCGAGGTCGATTCTTGGCCCCGAGTACACCGAAATCCGACTCCCAGAGTTGGGTGAAAATGGTTCCTGCGCTTCTTTTGGGGTTGTGTTTCTAGGCAACGAAGGCGAATCCACCTTCTCTCAGGGGAGATTTAGTAAGACAAACTCAGATTTCGTCCACCTGAAAAAACTCCGATGATCCGATGTTTCGTATTTCTTCCGGTTCCTGCGAACAGCTTGCGCTGAAGGGAACGGGCCCCGCCTTCCGCTGTCTTCCCGACTCGCGGGTTCGCTCGCTCAGCGAGTCGAAGACTTCGGCGGTCGGCCGAGTTCAGCCGGGGATGCACGCCACGGACCTCCTCGCCGGTAACTTCGGCGACCCGAAAGAACTACCCTTAACTTCCATTTAAGTTGAGACCCCTGGGAAAAACAAAGGTGATAGATTCCCTTTAAAACCAACAGGAAAAACAACCAAAAAACACTTCTTAAGCAAATGGAAGGTTAACAAAAGGGAATCCACCAACCATGATTTTGGGGCAATGACCCAATTTTAGAGGATTTTGAGGGTTGAACAGTTCAGGAGAATTGCTTGAAGCGGATTTATGGCTGCCTGTGTTTGGGTCAAAGTGCGAAGCTGGCGAAGGTGACGCACTATGCTTGTGGGTGCTTCGCTACCGAATTCTCGGGTGAAACGCGGCAGGCAGCTCATGCTTGGCATGGCTGCTACAAGAAACAATCCTTCACTGGAGCTGACTCGCCAAATCATCCAAAGCCGAACAACGTGATCTGTTCCGCCTATCTGCTCACTGGACTGCTAACTTCACAGGATCAACACCCACTTGTGTAAATTTGGAAGCCCACTGGAACCCCACTGGAACCAATTGGCACTGAAACCCCACAGAGGAAACCCCACTCAAATTCTTCACTGGAACCCAACTTCTTGACTTTACTCAAACAACCTCCGCGCCAGCCGGGTGAAGTTGGCTCCGAGGCCGAACTTTTTAGAAGCAACACGGGGCGCTCGACTTGGCACGCTGCGAAGATTCGTCCGGGATGCAGAAAAAGGACGTGGACGTGAAATGGCAGGGTGCAAAATGAACGTTTTGATGGGAAGAAGGGGCAGTTGTGGGAGCCAATCCTGAGGGAAAGACCTTCTGCCAATCTTGAATCAATGAAAGACTTTCGCACAGAAAGATTGAACCACCATGGCTTTGAAAGCTCTTTCATGCACAGGAGCCGGTCAACCTAAGGAAGATCAAACCCAAAACTGCTTTCAAGGTTCACTCTTCTACCTGCAAGTCTCCATGACCCGAATCAAAACTGGGTCCATAACCCCATTATCTTGGGTAATGACCAGCCATTTTGAAAGGGTCAGAAGGAGACTCCAGGTACAGACCTACACACCTGCAAACTACAAACCTGTCTCTTTTTTTTGTTCAGCGCATCTTTGTGCCAGGGTTCGCCTCCGTCGAGCGCCAACCGTAAAGGCACACCGCCTACGCCTACGAGTCGCGTGGGGGCAGAGCCTCACCTAGCATCTCCCTTCAGCAACCTGTCCGCGCAAGTGACCAACCCGTTCCTTAAAAAAATGGGCTCATGGGGCCATTCTTTTGGGTAATGTAATGACCAACCATTTTTTTCAGGTCAGAAGGAGACTCCAGGATCACAAAAACTGGGGGCCAAGTGGCTCTGGAAACATCCATCCTCTTTGGGCTTTTGGGGACACCGTATCTAGAATCCAGGGAACGACCGGGTCTCTAGTTGCTGCCCAAAGAGGCCCCAACAGAGCAGGGAGGGTGAGGAGTTGTCGCAGCCTACTTCCTCCGTTGGAAGGAACCTTTGAGAATGGATCTCCGGCAGGGTAGCGCAGGTTGTGATTGGAACGGCTGACTTTAGAGGTCAAAGCGCTGTCTGAAACTCGGCTTAGTCTACCTGGAGTCTCCATGACCCTTTAAAAATCGGTTCATTACCCAATTTTGGGGGTATTGACCCACCACCATCTTCGAGGGTCAGAAGGAGACTCCAGGTACTTTCACTTGCCTGAGCGGCCTGAGTAAGCGGTTGGTAGTGTAGGTCCGCATCAAGCCTACGTGTCACTCATCATGCAGGGATCAACTCGTTAGATTCCTCTCGGAGGTCATCTTGCAAAAGAGCACACGATTACACCTGTTACTGCTTCCGGGGCTGCAAATTGAATGAAAGCAAGAGATCCAGACTTTCGATTGGAGGAAGGAGGAAGGGACAGGAGGAAATGCAGTGTCTCGTTCTTGGCAGTTCCGTATTACTCCTTTCTGGATCTTTTGTTGCTTACTATCTCCCACAGGGGCAAACTTAGGGGCCACCCCGCTGGCTTAGGTTCAAAGAGAGTAATTACCTTTCAGCCCAGCTTGCGTGAGCGGGTCCGCAGGTACGGGTTCTACTTCTGTGGATTTGTCAATACAAACTTAGCTCTCACAGGGCTCCCTTTAGTTCCCCTTAAAACATCACCCACCAAGGGACACTCACCTTTCACGGGCCAAAAAGTTGATGTTTAAAACCACCAAAAAGGGAAAGACAGGGACCCCTGTCTCTAGAAGTGCGGCATGCACAGCGTCACCGGATAACTGCATTTATCTTGGTGGCCCTTGACGGGTGATGGGTTTCCCGGGCATTTCGGTCAGTTGTATTTTTGGGTTGGCGCACACCTCTCAGCACCTCCGGTTTATTGGGCTGTTTTGCTTGTGCCGGAACTTCCTGAAATCTCAACCCGTTGCGGCGTCCCACTTCGTCTTCGAAAGGAAACATGGAAACAGCCAACGGTATCCCAGGCGCAATGACTTTTCTCTTTTTTGGGGTCGATTGAGCTTGAAACTGAGAGTCTCGTCATTTCGCGGAATCCATCTATTTGCGTATGGGTCAAAATTTCTGCAGGATATGGACTGCAGGCTTTAGTACTTTCCATTTACCAGGACTTGTGTCATTTTGGGCATTCATACCTATTTGTTGACAACGGCACACATCTCTCCACAAGGACACCTACACCCAGCTCCCCGCATTCAGTGTTCAGATGCGGCAAAGGCACACACTGAACACCGAGGCAGCCATAGCGGCGCCTGTCAAAAGTACATGAATCAGTGCCGGAAACGCCATGGTCCGAAAGGAAAACCTCAGAGACACCAACCAGTCTTCGAGGTCTGCTGACCAAATTTGCGGCCCAAAGGACCAGGGTTGAAGACATCCAGCACTGGGTAGAATGACCTCCCACATGAAAGTGCTTAGACGATGGCTTGTCATTGGACAAAAGGGCTTGTGCACTTTGAGGGTAGTCAATGGGAGCTGGCAAACTTGAAAGTAAGATCCAGAGAAGCGCATATATGCGGCTGTGGGTCAAAACCCTGTACCCCTGGTGAACATCAAAATAGGTGGTACATGGGTGCTCATCCGCCCCAACATGGAGGCATACGACATCGCCGTGTGGGTGTCCACATCAGCCTTTCGGGCGTCGAAAAGGATTGCAGGACTTCCCCACCCGATGTGACAATCGTCCTAAATTTCGGAGTTCAGAGTACACCAAGCCCGGCGTCCGAAAAAAACAAAAAAAATCGTTGCTCGCCTTTTAACACCAGTGCCGAGTTCAGAGATTGGTTACAGGGCTGCGCAGGCAAGTAGGAGGACTTGCAGTACTAACGCCAAGTTAAGTCATCATTATAATGTTGACCCCGGATTAATAAACCCCTGGTTGATTTTGATCAGCGGGTCTCCCCTTTTAGTGGGGATTCATCAGGGAACACCCCCTAATAATGGGACGGGCTTATTGCGTTTATTGATCCTGGGTCAACATTACGTGAACAAATGATAGAAATAGGTTGGCCCCTTTTATGCCAAACAACCAACGAACCCTCTTTGGGATGCCATAGTCGAAGTGGCCCAACAAACATCGCAAAAACGTGAGCATGCACAGAAAGGGTCAAAAAGGCGTGAGAGTGTTTCAGCATGGTCACAGTATATCGACTCCTTCAAGACTGCATATGTACATTCCATAGTGAGGGAATCACGCACATCAATGCAGCATAATAGTTCACTTTCCGAGTGTGTCAACCCGTCCCTAGCCCAAATCAGGCATAGGGGGTGTGGGGATTCATCACTTTTGGAGGGAACACCGGGTTTATTCATCCTGGGTCAACATTAGGTGAACAAATGATTGCTTGGTTCAGAGTCTGGGATTACATATCTGAATGTGCAAGCACCGGCCATCCGCGCAAGGCAAGTTGTGCGGGCTGGGTGGCGAAAAAATAAAATATAGCTGAAGCATGTCCTCCCAGAACTGACAGAGCCAACAAGCAACTACTTCAACTTGCTAGCTCTACTGGCTTTCCAAAGGATGCGCAGGAATGCTTTCAGAATTTAAGCAAGTAAGCTCCACCAGCACCGAAGATTGCACATGTTCCAACCAGTTGTCAGAATCCAGCAATCTATGAACTTAGTAAGGCCAGATACCACGTTTGGTTGATTGCTAGAGCATCTATCTGAAATGTCAAATCAGGCATCCCGGATATGGATCCCTCGATAAGGCACATGTGAGCTTCGGGAACAAACTGTGCTTCTTCAACCCAAAGGGACCAAGCCAGAGTGAAAGAGTGTCATGTGGGTGTCTCTCCAAATAGCGGACCCCTTTTTGGTTGAGCTTGAAACGAAACTAAAAGGAAACCACCTACCTGCAGGGGTCCCATTGAGAAGCACCCATATCAGGTAACAAAACAGCTTGGTCCCGTTTCTCTCTTAAGGAAGATGGCCTGGAAAGCTTTGCACTCATGCAAACGACATCAAGAAAATAAGCAACGCTTCCCACCGATACAAACAAGACTTTTGCAAGTCAGGTATAGTTGGTCCCAATTTGACGGTCTCTCAACTGTGCCTCGAGAACAGTTGAGTTGGTGGCCCGATATGCAGTCTAAAAACTTTGGCCAAGCGCAACGATTCTGAATGGATTCCAAACGCTAGGGTTAGCTAACATAAGCCAGAGCATGTCGGTTGAGCGCCGAGCGATCGCGCGTGACTGCCGAGATTTCCTTAGCACCAGTGCACACGAACTGTCGCTTTGGATCCACCCATATTGGAAAGTTCGACTACGTGCTAGTAGAATCCATGAGGACTGTCGTTGTCCCCTTGTTGCACTGTTCTTCATGTGTTCCTTGATTGAGTTTGCCATTTGCCTCGCGAATTGGCAGTAACAAGCGCAGAACTATCTTTCTACTTGTGTATATTTGTCTTGCAAGGCGGTTGAACTTCTACACTGCCTATCCATAGAAACTCTTGCGTCGACTTTAGGGGACCCCCTCCCCAAATGAAGTTGTTCCTTTTGGTGTTGCTTGTATAACCGAGAAAAAAAGAAGAACACAACGGACCCTGAGAAAGACAAAACACACCCATGTCTCATGACGTTATGTATGGTGTGCTGCCAAGAGTCTGGTTCACACCGAAAACGAGCGTTTTGCACGCTGCAAGGGCACTGCTTGCACAGGCAGGTAACTCGAAGCGAAGTGAAACCAGTGCCATCAATTGACCTCCATTTGCGGAAGTCGCAGGAACAAAAACAATATTTCCAGTAGTCATAGATTCCCTTTAAAACCGATGTTAACTGGGGAAATTTAAACACAATGGAAGTTTAACACACGCGAGACGGACACGTATGTGCTTGGCAGACGGAAAGGCCACGATCCTTGTCGCAAAGACTTACACCCGGCCGAATGACACTGCCTGACCTTTGTACCGTTCCGTAGCTTAGGTTCAACAGCGAGCGGCGTGATTGCGTTGGCCAAACCCTGAACCCCTGAGACCAACCAAAAGGAGGTTGAATTCAATCAAGAGTCCCGGTGATTCCAGTTACCATCATAGGCAAGCAAGGGCTTGCCGCCCTTGAACAACCGAAAGGAACATGGCCTTCCCATTTTCTGTGATTCCATTTTTTCTGAATGGTAGGTGACTAGGGGAACCAGCCTCTGGATACCTACATAGGTAGCTGGGATCCACAGTGAGCTTCAAAGGCTCTTGTGGAGGCTCGGGGGTCGGCCGGTGAGGTGGCATCCTGTCATAAGTATGCAAAAGCGTCGCCTTTTCTAGGCTTGACTTGAAAGCAAAAGAAAGTTAGCTAACTTAGGAAAGGCTACCAAGAAAGCAAAAGAAAGGAGATGCTTTTCCTAAAGCTGCTTCGGGCGAACTTAGGAAATCCAAGCAAAGCTTGAAGGTTGTAATGAGCCAGGGGTTGTTTTCATTCGGCCAACACCACACTCTGCATCCTTCCCGGGATGAGTGCGCGGGACCCTTTCTTTTTAAACACTGCCCAATTCTGATGGCTGTCTCCACCAAGAGCATTCGATACCACAAGTCAAAACAATTTGCTTAGATCATAGCATGGAACCAATCCCTCCTTCTAATCTACCTGCGGAATCCATGTATCAACTTTGCCTGCCAGGTCTCAGGAAGAAGTTGCTTCCGGGAAACTGCGAATCAAACGAGACCCGATTCAGCAAGGCTAGCCAGTGCCAAAGCGCTACGCGGATCCATTTACCTGCATAAACATATCTGGAAACCTAGGGCTTGCCACCCTTTAAATTCCAAAAGGAAAATAGTTGGTTGCCTGCAAGAAGGGGAACTGGAATCAACTGGGGCTACTGACAGATCGACGATATTGCCTGCTCCACACAGGTTTGTAGGGAAATACAGACCGCTAGCTGACTTAGGGGCTGCGCGCATGCTGCGGCGGGATTACTGCAAAGATCCGGGTGAAGTCATCGGGTGCGCTACTCCACTGGGATGTCGCAAAATTGGGGGCCCTCCTTTGGATGGCCCAAACAAATCCGAAAAGGGTACCAAGTTGACCGGCGCTTGTGGAAATCCCATTGGAGGCACAATAGACCTACGGACAGGTGGGTATGTTTTTGCTGAGGCTACCTTTTAATTGGAAACCAATAGGAAACCCACCCGTCCCGCGGCTCCACACCCTACTTTGAGACCATTCAGGGATCCCATTTTATGCAAGGAACCTTCATGCAAAGTCATCCCATTTTATTGGGGTGTGTCTCGCTTTTTGGGTTCCCGGTCCCCCCTGCAAGACACACACCTCAACCCTCAAAACTCTGCTAAAATTGGCGATTGCTCCAAAATCATGCTGGGTGAATTCCCTAAAATGGGTGATTGCTCCAAAATCATGGTTGGTGAACGCGCAAAACCAACTAAAATAGGTCATTGCTCCAAAATCATGGTTGGTGAACTCGCAAAACCAACTAAAAATGGGTGATTGCTCCAAAATAATGGTTGGTGAATGCGCAAAACCAACTAACAATGGGTGACTGCTCCAAAATCATGGTTGGTGAACGCGCAAAACCAACTAAAAATGGGTGATTGCTCCAAAATCATGGTTGGTGAACGCGCAAAACCAACTAAAAATGGGTGATTGCTTCAAAATCATGGTTGGTGAACACACAAAACCAACTAAAAATGGGTGATTGCTCCAAAATGTTGGTTGGTGAACGCGCAAAACCAACAAAAAATTGGTGATTGCTCCAAAATCATGGTTGGTGAACGCGCAAAACCAACTAAAAATGGGTGATTGCTTCAAAATCATGGTTGGTGAACGCACAAAACCAACTAAAAATGGGTGATTGCTCAAAAATCATGGTGGGTGAACGCGCAAAACCCACTAAAGATGGGTGATTGCTAGCAAATCATTCGGCGGATTCCCATTTTTTCAGCGCAGTTCTTTCGGGTCACACCGAAAAATCCAACGAGCTCTGCTGAAACCGCGGTCCGAGGCTCCGATACCACCGCAGAAGTGCGGGAGGCACGGTGATGAATCGAGGGACCTGGCAGGCGAAGGACGCGCGCGCGCGCAAAAGCGCGCCGCTGAAACCAACGGCTCGTCTCTTCTTTGAGGGTAAAAAACGAGCCACGCCCTGTTTGGATTGGTTTGTTAAAGAAACCCCCAACAAAAACAACCTTGGAGGTTGGATCAACTCCGCACCTCTGAGGTCTGCTTCGGACTGACTCTTTGGGGCACAGGAACCCTTCCCAGAGTCATCTTCCAGTGGTCGAACGTGCAAAAAGAGGCTTACGAAAGGGTCACCTTCGTAGCGTTTTGTGGTGGCCTCTGTGGAATGTCAAGCACGGTATCAAACTCCGGGGGTTCGGACACTCAAAAGGAAGGGATGGTTGTCCTCTTGAACCCACCCAAAAGAAAAACAACACAAAAAAAAAAAAAAAAAAAACGGCAGTTTCACTTCGGCTCCCCTTTAGCCATCCCCCAAAACCAGGTTTTCTGAAGACACCCCAGGCCACTTGCGCCGAGAGGCTGCTGTTGGAGTTCTGCTCAGGGCTCGGCATCACCTGAACCGAGTTTGGGGCAAAGTTTCTGGCGGATGTGGGGCATTCTTTCAGCTGTTTCTAGGGGAGACACCCCTACCAACCGCCAGTTCTAAGAACCAAGTAGATGATTCTCAAAAATAGGTGGTCACCCGTTTGCTCATCTTAGCCCATTTAAGTGAGCAAATGTTTCTGGGGGGTCTCAAATTCCGAAGTCCCTTTGGGTGAATTTGGAGAATTAGGGTCAAATGTATGCAGACTGGGAAGCTGAGGGTATGCTGACCCCCGGATCCTGGGAATAGCTGAGTCGGGCTACGGCTTGCGTCACACCCAGACCCGGGGCCTTTCTCAGGGAGCCGTCTGTTAGCCAAGCTTTAGGGACCTGGGGATCCGATATCTTCCGGACCCCACACCGGGCGCAAGACCTGAAAACCTGGGTGCGACCCATCGGATCTTTCAGCTCAAGGCGTCAGCTCGGCCCCGAAGGCCCAAGGGAAGGGAACCCTGACAGAGTTTTTGGGCCTTCGATCCATATGGAGTCTCCATGACTCAATGACCCGAATTAAAATGGGTCCTTGACCCCCCATTTTAAAGGGTCAGAAGGAGACTCCAGGCAGATGTAGTTTTGAAGGTGCTTGGCAACTTGGTCATTCATGTGTTATGGCTGTGAATCTGGCACCCTCGCGTCTGTGGGCGAGTGACACGGGGACAAACACTTCAGAACAGTGGCACCACATTGTGCGAAACCAAGTGAAGACACTGTCAACCTCAGCATGCCGAATGATTACGCTCGATGTCAAGTGATTAGGTGCCCCATGTACATGGTTGCCACGAGAACGACTTGGGATCATGGTCATGCTCCTGACGGTGCGAGGGTATGTTCGATGTCAACTGAACTCGAGGAAAACCACAAGGAAACCACAAGTGTGTTCCTTGCTTTTTCATTCTGGGGGTGGGTGGGGGTCCCTAAAAAAGGACAAGTGTTGTCGCGCGGTTGTCAAATATATCGGATTGGAACACCTTTGCGACTTGGGAGGGGTGTTCCCAGGCAAAATGCTGGGATCACATTACGTTCCTGCTTAAGCGGGTGGTGCAGCTGATGCACTCATCCTCATCAATACCTCCAAATGTTCAACATATCCCTGCACATCATTTTGTTGAGAGTACCTGGAGTCTCCTTCTGACCCTTTAAAAATGGTTGGTCATTACCCAAAAAAAATTGGGTCATGGACCCATTTTTGATTCGGGTCAGAAGGAGACTCCAGGTGTGGATGAACAAAATCCACTTCCCACCGGTTGGGCTGGATGAACCCCTACCCTGGGATGAATCAACAATACCAGCTGGAACTTGGCGAGGATTCTGTCCCATGCATCCGGTGTCGAATCTTGCCGCTGCCATTTGAGCTTATTTCCGAAAAGAAAACCAAACCATTCCAAATGCACCTAGAAATATGGACTCTTTTTTGGTAATATTTGGCTCTTTTTTTGCAATATTTGGCTCTGTCTTTGTAGAGGTGCCCTTTTCGGATGGCCTTCAAGGGAAACAGACCCATTTGGCTGTGCTGCATTGAAGGATCCGGAACCGGACATATCCCCGCCTTCACTTTATCGACCAAATGAAATCCGCACAGAAACCGACTATCTCGATGTCAAACCCAACAGGGTCACTTAGTGCCGTCTCTGCACCTCTGGCAAAGGAAATCGACTATCCAGCAGAATCTGTCCACCATATGTTAGAAGATCTGAAGCAGATCATATTCATTTTCGACAAAGTGTAAAGGCTTCCGTGTCAATTGCGCAGCTGTCTTCTTAGACATGCTCCTGCCAAGGTGCCACGTTCCCGTGCAGCAGGGCCGACATGATGTCGTCGAAGCGGTTGGACTCTACCATAGTGCTCACCTCCAATGAGGGAAAGCCATGGTTCGATCTGTCCGATGATGACATGGGTGTCTCACTGGATACTACCTGAACTCTCGAAATTCCAACTTGAAATTGGGTCATTGCCCCACAATTATGGGGTGAATTCCCTTTTTATTAAATGCTTCTTGCTGGAGCGATAGGCAGGGACTGAGGGAATACACCCAGGCTTTGGGCCCCCTAAAAGAAACCCATAGGGGATGGTTTATAGGGGTCATTTCATTTCTCACTCCCTGCTGAGCACCAGCTAGTTTTGGATAGAAGTACATGGCTTTCCCTGGTAAATGGGTAAAACCATGTAACCCAGAGCAACCCATCGATTTCTCATCAAGCTAACCGATCACAACGACGCTGTGGGTGACACTTACCAAAGTGACCCCCAAACGTAGAACCTAGGGGTCCCTTGAGGAAAACTCTCTTCCAGCCACTGTGCAGGTTCTACGTTTGTCAGGGTGCTTTGAAAGGACACGGACACTTTCTTAAGACAAACCCACATGGGCAGCACACACCAAATTTGCATGGCTGCTCACCCAAATCCCATGGGGCACGATGAATATCGATATTTCAGGTGGATGGACAAAAATCAGTTCGCACCAGCTTGGATCGATGAAGCCCTACAAAATATGGGGATATATATATATATATATATGGGGATAAACCATCTGTATACAACTGGTGCAGGATGCCTTTAAAATGATCGGTTTGCTGTTGGTGTCCCTTGAAACACTACAAGGGGGTCCACAATCCACAACTTTGGAAATTATCCCATATCGCGAACTCTCAAAATGGTGCATTTCTTGGGTGGTCAAGAGCACCAGCAGCAACCAGCCCAGTTAGAGGTTCCCCCAAAACAGATGTGTGGCTCTTGGTGGTTTTCTATAAGAAGTGTTGCCAGTCTAAAATCCATGGGCTCCGTTTAGCAAATCCAACTGGTTGGACATGGCTTGCAAATCCCGGTGCGAGGAAAACCAGCACAAATGAATCCTGACCCTGCCCGTCAAAAACAATAAGCGAAGCCCCAACGGATCCTTGATACATCGCGGCTGTGCACCCCCCCAAAAGGCCCTGATAAAAAAAAAAAAAAAAATGTTGGGAGGTTTGAATAATCCTGACCCTGCTGGTGAAAGGATACTTGATACATCGCGGCCAAGGGGAATATCCGAAAAGGCGCACGGCAGAAGGCCTCTGCGGGAAAGTAAGGGGAAGCACCCAAAAAAGGGAGAGGTTCCTCCATACATGGCTCGGTTTTTCTTGTGCTCCTTCCTCTAAACTGTAGAGTATATAAACAATTTTAGGTATACACGTACTGTGGGTTTTGGGCGCTCAAATGGCCGGCCCCTACCAGCCTGAGGTTAGGGTCTCCCGTTAAATCTGGTCTTGCCAGGGGGACAAGGTGGAAGCATCACTGGGATTCCAGGGATGGCCCCCCTCCCGTTCCATTGCTCAAGGGGTGCGCATGTCGGTCTTCACGCCAGGAGTTGGTCATGAGAGGACACCCTGCGCATCGTGGGTTTTTCTCCCAAGGTAGCCGCACTTCCGGCGCGGATTGGCCGAAGCTTTAGCTTGCTGCTTGCACCCAACGTGAGCCTGGGAACTTGGAAAGTGAGTCTGAAGGGTTCCCTGTTCTGACAAGCTCCACTTGGGTGTGGCTCAAAAATGGGGGTCCAAAATGGAACCATGGCAAATGGAAAGGTAGACGAAATCCTGCGAAACCCCAGCTGTTTAATTTTGAGCCACACCCACTTCAACACGGGGGATTCTTTTCCCAAAAGGTGGGGAGAACCCTCCTAGGGACGCTCGAAGAAATCGACCCCTCGGATCCCCCCCCCCCCGACAACGAAAATCTCTCGGCCCCCGACGGCATCGGCGGATTTCTGACTTTGCAACACTGGCGTCGATCCTCGGAGCCCCATGGCTTCACCAGAGGGTGCCCCAAAATGGGGGTGGGTTTACAGAGGGAGAGCAAAAGGAAACCACCGACTTTTTGGAGCTCGCCACTTTTGTGAGAACCAAATTCAGGCTTCTGAGCCAACAAAATGGCGGTACATGGGCTGGGAATTTCAGGTAGAGTGTCCAGGTGGGTCACCGAGCCGCGGAAATGGCTGATTCACCTCCAGTTTCCCACAAACAAACAAACAAAGAAACAAACAAAGAAACAAACAAAGAAACAAACAAACAAACAAACAAACACACAAACAAACACACAAACAAACAAACAAACAAACAAACAAACAAACAAACAAACAAACAAACAACCACACAAACAAACAAACAAACACACAAACAAACAAACACACACACACAAACAAACAAACAAACAAACAAACAAACAAACAAACAAACAAACAAACAACAAACAAACAAACAAACAAACAAACAAACAAACAAACAAACACACAAACAAACAAACAAACAAACAAACAAACAAACAAACAAACAAACAAACAAACAAACAAACAAACAAACAAACAAACAAACAAACAAACAACAAACAAACAAACAAACAAAACAAACAAACAAACAAACAAACAAACAAACAAACAAACAAACAAACAAACAAACAAACAAACAAACAAACAAACAAACAAACAAACAAACAAACAAACAAACAAACAAACAAACAAACAAACAAACAAACAAACAAACAAACAAACAAACAAACAAACAAACAAACAAACAAACAAACAAACAAACAAACAAACAAACAAACAAACAAACAAACAAACAAACAAACAAACAAACAAACAAACAAACAAACAAACAAACAAACAAACAAACAAACAAACAAACAAACAAACAAACACAAGACTCCCACAGAGCGGAAGCCTCTCTTGAAGAATACTTTAAATGTGATTGAACCTCTCCACAGGCGGTTGACTTCATTCTCGTGGATTTGAGATTTGCCTCAGAAAGCCCTGACCTACCTGACAATGCATCCAAACCTGAAAGACTTCTCAGTTGTTCAGCGACCCCGGGAAAAACAAAAGGGGAACACGTTTTTGGGGAAGGCCATTTTTAGTGGGGGCAGCCACCAAAAAGAAAAGGGGGAAAAGGGTGGCCACTGAACAACTGAGACTTGGAGTCCCAGGTACAGGACCACAGTGCACCAAGCTCGAAGCTTGGTGGGAAGGAAACTCCAAACAGGCACCCTGATGGAATGCAACACATTCTGAAAGACACAACTCACCGCACGCCAACAGATTTAACGCAGGAAATAAGCCGCTTTGCCTGGCTGCAATGTGATCGGAAGAAAAGAGAAGATCATCATTCTTGACATGGTGACTTTTTAAGCGAGAACTCAACTCTGGCTGTGTCAGCCTGTTCCACAGGAAACCTCAAAGCACCAAACCCACAAACAATCATGAGTTGCGACACCAGGAATCCCAGCAACATTCCTGGCTTACTTCTTTGACCCTGCGGACCCATGGACGGTTCCAATGTTTGCCTTCACGACCAACGGTGCCAAGTCCAGTGAACCTCGGCTTGGGCTGTGGTGAATCCTTGCACAAAACTGGGCTGCCCTCAGATCCACAGCTAAAAGGTTAACTTTTAGTGGATTAAATGTGCGAAAGGGTTTGAAACAGAGTTTCGGGAGAGAATAAACAGGCCCAATCCCACCAACAAGAAGAGATTGTTTAAGTCCCCCAGTCCCAAGGGCAAAGCGGTGCCCCCGGCTGGCACTACAAACGAACCAAAACAGGGTGCCTTTAACCAAATGATGAATAAACCCAGCAAGGGCAGAGACAACCGAAAGCAAGCACAAAGCAGCAAACCAAGCAGGCAAACAATGCAGCGAAGCAAGCAAAGCAAACCAAATGCGCACCAACCCCAACCAGAACCCCCGACCAACCTCCGCCAGGAACACGACCGCAAGCGCACAGCACCAACACTCCGTGTCGATGATGTGCGCGTCGCGCCGCCGCGTTTTGGCGCCGAGATTGCAAGAGCTAATTGCCGGGTTGAAAAGCTTGAGCCAAATGCCGCGTTGGGCATTGGCATGAAATCACATATGCTATGATAAAAGTACATGCCCCCAAAAACACCCCCCTCGCCTGTACAAAGAGATGGAGTGAATTTGGTAAGGCGCATTGGCCATTTGAAGTTGAATAGCAACAAACAAGAAACAAAGCCGATTAGACTACCAGGGTTCGCGACCCCATACCCGGGCACTCATTGGTGCCCGGATCCCGCCACCACCCCGAATTATGGGTATGGGGCGGATTCGCGCTGGTAGCCAAATCAAACAAGAGAAAGCAAAAAGAAACAGAAACAAAGATTCAACTCCAGAATGGCAGGCATGAAATAAAAATACATTTGCAACGCAACCACAACGAGCCGCAAGGTTCAAGTGGATTTAGTTCCTGAATTCATGATTTAGGCGCATTGGCCCACTGGTTGAAACATGGTGCTTCGACCACAAGACCTTGGTCTTTAAAGTAGCACCGTCTAGGCGCGCGATCACACAACGACCTTCGGTAGGAACACCACCAGCTGCAATCAGCGGTTCAGGTCCGAGTAGGACATCACCGGCAGCGGTTCAGCGCATCCGTGATCCTCACCACAGCACCTTGATGGGTTCCATCTTCAGCAGCAGCAGCGGTGCTGGACGATGCTGATCACCAGCGGCCGTAGACGCCGGCGAGGGTAGCTGCCTTGCTGTGCCGACGCGCACCTGACGGGTCATCGCAGCTTGCGCGAATAGCGCACAGCCACGCATGCAATTAAATTCTGGAATGGCGAATAGCCTAAGCATTGAAATATGGCTAGGAGCATAGTCCTTTTGAAAAACTCTGGAATATAAGCATGCGCGCGTTGGCGCAGCCGTGCAAAGACGCATGGACAAACATCAGGTATCACCGATGTCGCCCACCGCCGTGCCGCCCCTTCCCCTTTCCGACATTCCAGTCCCCAGGGGGAGGAGGCACTGTCTCGGCTAGCTCGTCATCGTCACCCCAGGTAGGGGTGTGCGGCGAGTTCGGATTTTCGAACTCGCGGGGATCACCCTGCATATGCGGCTGCCAACCCTGCGGCATTGCGCCAGGCCACATTTGTGGCATCATACCAGCCATGGGCTGTTGCATGTACCCTCCCATTGGGAAAGCGGGGTACATCGGACTCGGGAAAGGGAAAGGAGCTGCCTGAGCACCCTTGTACCCCGACCCGCGAGCATCAGGCTGATACCCGCCAGTGGGAGTTCTCGATCTGGCGGATCCGCCACGACCGAACTGCCCTTGTTGGTAGCCGTATTGGCCACCCTTGCCTTTGTACTGATCACCTTTGTGACCCTTTCCTGGAAACTGGTCACCCTTGTGACCTCCGCCCTTGGGCCAGGATTGCGCAGGGGCTTTGCCCTCTTGCTGATCTCCCTTTGACCTGGATTCAGGTCGCGGGGTAGCAGACCGTTGGTCTCCCCTAGGCGTGGCTGTCCGCCTGTGGTGCTTCCCAGCCGGCGGTTCAGCAAAAACAATGGCGCATTGGCCGTCGCGCCGTGCAGCGGGGACCATGTCAACCTTGTTGTCTTCGACATAAATGTATGCCTCAGCATACTCAATTGGGGCCGTGATGGATCCACCACTGGCCCGCAGAGAGTCGATACTCCAATCAAGAACAGTGGAAGCATCGAAACTCGGATCTTCACTATTGAAGTCCGCGAGGCGTCGCTCAGCCTGTACCAATGACATTATGATATCCGCACGTGAGGCGCCTAGGCCATACAGCGGAACCAAATATCCGTCCTCAATCCCGATGCGGTAGGCATCAAAGATATGTACAGAGAGGTAAAGGGCAAATGCTGACTGCCCTTTCTCGTCATATGACGACCCCATTGCGCCGCCTGTTGCGGGTGCTCGATCAAATATCTAAAGACAGACATATTGTCGGGAATCGAGACGCCAGTATTGCTCTCCTCGATGAGCAGCTGTTTCGCTACCCACCGCTCGAGAGCCTCATCACTCGCACGCACACAAGCGTGAGTGTCCTTTGAGGTGACCTTTGCAACCTCCTGAAACGCAACTTGCGCAATGTCCGCATTGGGAATGTGCACAAGGTGCGGCGCACAGCGCAAACCGGTGATCATACAACTGACCACCTCGCGGATCGGGTTTACCGATGCCATGAGAGGGGCCCACGCGTCGGTCTCCCCTTCATACCAGCTGCTGGCGCGGACTGCTTTGAGTCCTTCTAGCCAGACTGGCTGTCCATTCTTAACCAGAGAGCGGACGGTGCCTGGCACCCATTCACGATAGAAAATCGGCAGATGGCAACCATTGCATAGAATGGTGCCATACATGTTCAAATGCGCGCACCGAGGGCACCAGTAGTCATGCATGGGAGCATTGTCCCATGAAAATGACACCCCTCTCCGCGGTCCCTGAACATTCAACTCACGGACCGCCCAGGGACGGATGTATATTACATCCCCTTCCTGATGCAGATAGCATGCGCGCCAGAAGGGCGCATGTATCTCCTCCCGCACGGCGATCAAACCGCGTCGGGTTTTGTAGATGCCGGCGGCTTCCTCGATGGCCATCCACTTTAGGTCAACGGCCACAACGACATGGCGCTTGTCCATGTATTTCACGCGATCGTCAACATAAAATTCGCCCTCATTATTGGGGCTGGAGAGGCACCTTTGCGCCCTCCATCCCAATCATGATCTCCCCCCTGCAGACCTGCTCAGGTCGCATGGGAAAAACCGTGATGGCGAATTTGCCGGGCCTCCGGATGCACCTCGTTTTGAGGGCGGACCGATACTCGGCCATCGTCAGCAGCACGTATCCCGTATAAGGGACTTCCGCTGCTCCCATCGGCCTAAGCAAAGGCCCCATAGGCGTTCGATCACGCAGTGCCCAACGCTTGAAAACTTTGAACGGCACGTCCCTCCCGATTAGGGTGGACCGC